GTGCCAGTTGATTTCTACGGGGACCTCAGAAATGAACAAATATTATAACTACGAGTTATAATTTCTACGCCTTCCCTGCGGCCTGTAAAAATCTGCATACGCCGTACGGAGGCCGCAAGGCGAGCGTAGTCTTTCTACGCTCGCCGCAGAAATTCACCGATTTAATTGATCTGTAGTCGACTTGCGGCCGCCGTGCGACAAATGTGACTGGGGTGTATTACAAGTCCATTAGCCTATAAAAAACATGGCCTGGCTATGAAAAGACGATCATCAAATAGTGGAATAATTTTGAGGTAGGCTATTGGATCTTCATCTGGTTTATGGTCGTCATAACATGAGCAAGTAATTAGCTTTGAATATTCATGAGCCGCGTCACGTCGACGACTGTACAAATTCCAGCATTTTGATTGGCCCAAAGTCGTTCCATGGGTAGCATAACCACATACGAAACACATTACACAAAAACACGAATGCTATCGAATTTAAAATACATGTATATGAAGAAAACATCAAATCGGAGCATTTTATTTAGATTTCCTTTCAGATTGTATCAACCGTTCCATCTTACCTGTTTAGGAAATGTCTGGATTTGAAAGAAATAATTTATCTTACCTGTAGCGAAACAGATTATCATCGCAATAATCCCAGTAGTTATATCTTCAGTATGCATTTTACATGGATTTTCAGTACGAAAGTCGTCTCGCATGAAATCGTTTTTCAAACATTTGTCAAAATATAACCTGCAATTGATACTTTACAAACTAATGCAACGCATGGGTTCAATGGTACTAAAAGAAATAATGCAGAAGTTTGTTAAAAAATGTGTGGGCTTCGATAACAAGATTTTGAGTCATAGATGACTCCTACTCAAACAAATGTATATTACGACAGAACACGTTTTAAAAGATAAATATAGTTGCTCAACAAAACAAAACGAAACTAAATTGGGTTGAATGATTGCCAATTAAGTTGACCCAGACAAAGTAATTCTTTTTTGATAGTTGATAAGACATGCGTGCATGTAGGTGCGCATTTCTTCGAATTATGAACACATGACTTAAATCCTATTGCTATTTATATCTGTATATTACATGGTGAGCCAAAAGGTAACCTAAAAAATGTTGATCACTCAGTCATCCAGCATGGATTCAAAATCGTACATGGTACAACTGAACCTTGTTCGATGTTCTTTCATTAAGTTTCATTGGTCTATTTAAATGGTTGCAGTTTCATGGCCATTTTTAAAAACATGTTCAAAATACGGAAACATGCCAAAATCACCCGATATGAATCCTCAAACTTTGTTCTTTGGAGCTATTCCAAGGATTTTTATCCACACTTACAACTCAAGAAGCTAGGACGTAGCAAAAATGGGGTTCGTGGGGTTATTGCAATTGCGAATCCTCGAACCCCCTTTCATCAAAAAATGAACCCCCAGCTGGGAACAATCCCCTTTCCCCCTTTCGGAACGAACCCCACTCTCATAAAGAACAATGAATCGGAAATTTATATTGCTATTTGATAACGCACGTGCTATATTCCATAATTTGATTGGTTCGTTGAAACTGTTTCCGTCGTGTAACCCCCTATTATTTAGGTGGTTGCACGACCGGGTTGCACATTATTTAGGCTGTATTACTGAATACCATTTGCTTTAATTTGATACATAAATCAACAATTTTGACCTTCTATAATTAGAATTATATCCCAAAATCATACAAATCTAACATAGGGGTTATATCTGTCTGGTCAGTTCTTGGCATTCTGTATTCAGCAATTGGTAAATTATGATTTTGACCCCTTTGGTTTAATCAAATGATATTTAAAACAAATATTCATTTCTATTGGATTAATTATATATCATTTTGTTGTAAATTAAATTGTCTTTCCAATGATATATGGTTTAAACATTGGTCTGTATTATCACGGGGTACCATCGAATAATTTTGGCAACGTACCGGAGAACGACATTTTACTAAGAAATGGCAATAATTTAGCACAATATATTTTTTAACTAGAGTTCTACTTTGATTTTGACAAAAGTAAGTATTCCATGCAATGGCTATTTCATTCATGAGTTTGTAGGAATTCTGTTGGAACCCAGTTCTGATCAAGTACGAAGTTATTGAAATCGGCGCAGTCGGACTTTACTCCGAAAGATGGTTTTTCGATTATAACTTTTTACAACATTTAAGTATAGACTTTTGAAAAAAGTACAGAATAGTCCTTATACTATTGAATAATTCTGTTATTTCTGATTCACACGACTCTGATTTGTTTAATTAAAAAAAAGTTTTAAAAATATTACTTAGGAACGTAACCGGAGCTGGGAACGTAACCTAACCGGAGCAGATCAGTTGATTTATATAATTAAAAAAAAAATATATATGATTTAAAGCATATATATTATTTACAAACACATATGAATGTTAAAATGAGCATTTATCAGTTTATTACCCTTCACTTACAGGAAAATCAATGCATGGCAATTAGTATAAATTAGAAATTAATTAGAAATTAGTATAACAGAGTGGGTTCTAATAGTTCGCTGAACAAATGCAATGGGTGAAATCAAATGGAATTATTTGCTTACTACATTTAATCACTCCATTCTCCATACAATGATTGTTCTATGTTTGATAGCCTTTCTAAGGTAAGTGCACTTATGCATGGTAAATACCAAATTTAATTTTTCACAATGGATTTTTTTTTTCTTTAAATAAAATGTAATAAATACGCATTCGAACAACCCCGTATGTTTTTAAATTGGTATATGTGCTTTAAATCATATATTTTAATTTTTTTGATTAAACAATTCAACTGATCTGCACCGGTTACGTTCCCAGCTCCGGTTACGTTCCTAAGTAATATTTTTAAAACTTTTTTTTTAATTAAATAAATCAGAGTCGTGTGAATCAGAAATAACAGAATTATTCAAAAGTATAAGGACTATTCTGTACTTTTTTCAAAAGTCTATACTTAAATGTTGTGAAAAGTTATAATCGAAAAACCATCTTTCGGAGTAAAGTCCGTCTGCGCCGATTTCAATAACTTCGTACTTGATCAGAACTGGGTTCCAACAGAATTCCTACAAACTCATGAATGAAATAGTTATTGCATGGAATACTTACTTTTGTCAAAATCAAAATAGAACTCTAGTTAAAAAATATATTGTGCTAAATTATTGCCATTTCTTAGTAAAATGTCGTTCTCCGGTACGTTGCCAAAATTATTCGATGGTACCCCGTGATTATAAACAACGTTGTAGTAAAACAAAAATGTGGAGGTTAATTGAAGGGTGTGTGGGTGGAAATTTAAGATTCGATAAGTGCTATTTTTGTTGCTCAAAGAAGTCAAGTGGACTCATTTCGAGTAGTTTTTAGATAACAAAAAGCGTGTTCTACACATTTTATATTAATATATTTATTACCCGATAAGACAAATAGTCCATTCGAAACTGTAACAAACATGAAAATCGTCCAAAGTTTATTTAAACAGCGTTATTTATTATATTGTTTTTTAAACTGATTTTAGAAAATAATTTTATAGCACTTGATTCATCACGCCATTGTTGACCCCCTTTTAAAGTTGGAAATAAATATTTACACAAATTTTTGCCTCTGAGACTCTCACTTGACAAATTCAATCGAGTTTAACACGCGGAATAGATTATCATAACACTTGAAATTACACAGACGTATTGAGCTTAGGGAACTTTATACACGTTGCTTATATTGTATCGTTCACGCACGTCTGTCATGGTGAACGGAGTTGATTTGTGTTTGTGCTCATCCTCCATTTTTCTGTTTTTCGTCTGCGCAGTGATGATGCGCAGACGTCTCCAAGGTAATAGAAGTTGCAATTGTGACGTCAGTGGGCAATAGTTCAAATGTATATTCCCGCTGACGTCACATTTGAGGGAATATAACTTTCCGAGGGAAATAGTAAATCTATTTCGGAACACGTGACTAGGTATTGACCAATCAGGATTAGTGTTACATATTGGGTATATAATAATTTCCGTTATTACTTCAGTTTGGAAATTACAAATTGATGAACGTTTTTTAAATCACCAAACATAAACAGGCTTAACAAGCGACCCCGGTTGACAAACATATGGAGGGTGGTGCAGTAAATAGTATCACATTTCTTGTATATGTGTGAAGTTTTGGAATCATAGAGAATATACTCACGGAGTATTTTCCACATACTATTTAACTGTGGTTTTTGATTGTTTATTAATAGGGTTGATTGGTGCTGAGTCGAGCAATATTCAGATATTGACTCGCACTGTAAAAACTGTGGAGACAGTTTACCATTTTTCTGTAGATTATCACCTGATTGCAATGTCAAATTGGTATCCTGTCCCATCACAGGCCCATTATCAGCTTCTGCCAAGGGGGTTCTCTTTTTTTTTAAATTCCAGGGGAGTTCATATCTGCCCATTTTGTGTGAAAATCACTTGAAAAGTACTCGAAAGGGTGAACAAATGTTTGCCCCTCCCCACTGGCTACGGCCCTGCCATCGGGTGTGAGTACAAAACTGAGTTTTTTCAGATAAAAGCAACTTTTTCGTACAACAAACTTTCCTTTGATAAGTTTTAAAAGTGTATATAGTAAATGCACATAAAAACATGTAGAAATTAGGAGTGTTGTATTTATCAATATTTCAAATAAATTCTAGAAATGACTCCCAATGTTTAAAGTGGCTGCTAAGGATACATTTCCATGAGCAACAAAATATTGTAACACTGTTACATTATTTCAACAAGTAATCTTCAACTTTTCTATATGCTTTATATTAATTAACTGCATTTTTACATCTGAGGGAAAATCTCAAGGTTGCAATGTATGCGTATTAACTCAAGGCATGGTGTCCAATTATCAACGTTAACACTTGTGGAATATAATTTCATTAGGACGAGGGGGTAAATTGATGGTTTCATTAGCGAAAAGTGTTGACTTTTTAAAGATAAATCAACACGCCTGCTGATAACTCAATCCCATCCCTCAGAGTTATTAAGTTAAACAGGCAATGCGCCTATTTTTGAAGGAAAAAGGACAAAATATTATTTGAGACATGTCACTCACAGTCAATCAAATATGATAAAAACTTTTATTTGGGATAATACTGATGTGAAAAAAAAATTACTTGCATAGAAAAACAGCATTTGAAGTCCAGAGATTGAAAAAAGTGAATTACCACTTTTCACAAAGTGTATGTTTTAAATAACTCTTGGATTAAAAGATGGCGTATGTTTGAAAATCCTATCAAAAATGAATGGATAATTATGCAAACTACAATGCCATCTTTCTATCGCATTGCTAAAAACTTGACATATAAAATTGATAGATCAAAAATATTTTTTCATGATCTAGTGTCAATTCTGATGTGGTCTGTTTGAGTTGTTTTTGGTGTCAAATCAAGGGAAAGATCAATACCCGGTGATTTCAGCAGGAAGTGGCGTTTCGTTCAGTGGATGAGCTGCGCGCGCACGCATAAATGTGATTATCCAATATAATTAGGGGAGGGCTATTTGAAATAGTTTTTGGTCTCAGGCGCGACCCAGGGCTGTTGTCTTAAGGACATTTCGTTGAAAATGAGCCATTCGGCTGATAATTGGTAAGAGTTTGCGATCTTATAATGTATAACTGTTACTCAGACACATATTTTGACACGATTCTGTTGGAAATAAGCTTTGAACCGAGAGATATTCACGATTGATATGTACATTTTTGATTGTGCCATTGCTTTTCCATTGCACAATCCATGTATTGATATAAGAAACATTAATAATGCAGATTGGTTTACCTTCAATACATGACAGACACTATATATCGGTCTATTAATACCAGTTTGTGCCTTAAATAGTTTTATCATTTCCATCCACGGCCTGGAGCCTGGGTGTGTTTGTCTCTTATGTGTATGCTTGTGCATGGACTTCTAATCACTAGCAGAATTTAACATGATGCAAACTCGACATTATAACTCATGCTGTAACATTTTGACTTCGCTGGAAAACAATAGGAATTATTTTTCTTGCCAATCAATCATGAATCACAATCAAAATTTCAGAATGATCAATCAGGCAATGGTCCAAATCAAGTTATAACATTATATGATATCCAGCAAGAAGTCCGGTAGAAATACAGAATATTTAAACATCAAAGCTGAAAGTTAAAAGCTAATCTGTCAATTTTCTGTCTGCAAAAGAGCGTTTACATTTGACACAATAACAGACTGAGGCTTTGAAATCTAGGATTCCCCAGGAAAATATGACGTCATACTAATTAGCATAAGGATTTCCCTATTGGCCTGGGTCGCGCCTTGTTCGAAAACACAATCCATAAATACATGCTAATTTCTAAGGAGATAGGAAGTGTATAACGTGTTTATCGATTTTGTTTAAAGATTTAATCAATTATCAAATTGTTTAAGTGGATAAAGTGGTCACACTTGCTTCAATTCATAGCGAAATCGACGGATAGAAACTGACCGAATTCCCGATATCCTACCCCGTATTACTGTAGGCTATAAGCACAGTGACCTACAGAGGGCGCTATCACAAACAAGTACTGCACGAACCGTTAAATTCCCGGGTATTGTAACGCCCTTGGTCAAATGAAAGATCAGGTACTTATTTATCCATTGGAAATACTATGAAGATTTAAAGTGAGACTTCATTTACGCACCTTATCCCTTTAAGACTGGTCTTATGAAATGTTCTGTATAGCTTTCCATGTACTAAATCAATATTTTGATTGTTCACCAGGGGGTCATTAACAGAAACTTCATAAAGTTATGAAATTCGTAAATCAGTTGTTGTTACCATGGATATAATGACGTCACAGTTAGAGAAGAATGGACTTTACGAATTCTTATCTTTAAGAAGTTTCTGTTAATAGTTCCCAGACTCCTCCCCATCTTGCAGGGAGAATTCTTCCTCACAATGTTCAGCATGCTCAAAGATTAAACTCTCCTTGAAGCTTGAGCCACAGACTGGACACTCAACTAAGGCTGAACTGTTAGTGTGTGTTCTCACTGGACTGCACCCAGTTAGGCTAAAGCGAGGTCTTGAGTTTGTATCACTGGGATGTCCCTTTTTGGGGGTCAAGTGAGGGGTATGGTTTGGGGTCATATCATGGGTATCATTAGGGCTGTCATTTTGTCCATTTTGAATTTGATTTTGTTGAGTTTGGGACTGTGTTTTAGATACGTCTTCTGTGGTTTGTTTCAAAGTTATCCTCTTAACACCAAGTAAATTACTAATGCTGTCTTTTGCACTTTCAAAGAATCCACTGGAAGCACTTTTAGGTACAATTTTCTGAATTTCTGTTCTAGCACTTTTAGTCATATCAGCACTTTTAGTTAAAGCACGAGAGGAGCAATCTGTGCTGCTAGACTGCTCTTGTGTGATATACAAACGTCTTCTTGGTGATGAGGATGACTTACTAGAAGAGGACTGAACAGGACTAGAAGGTTGAGGGCCTCTTAAAGAAGGTGCTCCATTTGTTTTTGGCACACCAGATTCAGAGATCAGCACATCAGATTTTGATTTCAGCACATCAGAATGTGAAGTCCGCACACTTAACTGTGAATTTTGAAAATTTGTATCATTGTTTTTGGGATTTTTGTTTTGGTCAATAGGTGGCTCTGATATAAAATCTGCAGGATCAAAATCATCATCTTCGAGGAACCCTCCTTGACACGTAGATGCGTGAATTTCAATCACATCTGAGGGGTAGGTCACTGAAAATAAAACAAACAATACATGTACATGTTTTCTGTTTTCTAATGTCATGTTCTGATTCTATATTAACAGTTTCATTGAGGTTTTTCAGTTGTCAACTCTGTATATTTCTGTGTTCCAAATTGCAGGACAGAATAATAATATGCCCCTGACACTGATAAAAAAGGTTTGCTTTTCTCATCTTTTGGTTTTTATTGATTTGCAAAATTTTCAACTGCATTTTATTTGGATCATCTAAAGTTACCCTGTTACTTCAAAACTAATCATATGTATTATTTATCTAGAATTGAAAGATACCTTGACATAATGGGCAAGGTTGCATCACACAAGGTGTAGTTCTCTGGACTGCAAAACTTGTTTTTGGCACATCAGATATATGCACACTGGACACAGATTTTGGCACACCACATGAAGACTTCAGTGCTCCAGGTGAACTTGTCAACGAGAGCACACTAGATTTTGGCACAAAATTCTCTTGTGTAGGATTCGATTTTGACACACAAGCTGACTCAACAGATTCCAATGTACCCTGCTTTGACACATCCTGCAGGGCTGACATCTCCTGCATTGATACACCTTGAGTAACATCATCATCCTTCATTGAAGATGACTGGGTAGTTATGGACTGCGTAATCGCTGATGAGGACACCATCGCACGTAGCAGCATGGACCTCAATAACACTAGGGGAGAATTTCACTGGAACAGATAATACTAATGTACATTAAAAGATAACTTTACCTTCAAGAATATGAAATAGTCGGGATAGTTGCAGCCATACCTACAATCTCATCCAATTTTCATAAGTTTAGTGCAATAAATTATACATTAACATGCAAAATGTAAACACCTGCTATTTGTTACAGATGCCAAACACCATACGCCGAACACTGTCACAAAAAGTTGGAGACCACAGCAATTAAATATGCTGTCACTTTGTGAAATGAATTCAAGTCAATGAGGTAGAGAGAATATTAGACAGTCCTTTGAGGTACAATGCGCAGAAGTCATTAAAAAAACAAGGTATTAATTAACATCAGTTATTGGAAGTAGTAAGCATTTATTACACACGCCAAACCTCGAATGCCAACCGCTGTCTACAAAATAGTATGTCACCAGTTCTGTTAGTGACAGAAAAATTTCAATAAATAGCATGTGACAAATGTCACCGATTAAATAGTGACATACCTTGACATAAAGGACATGGCACAAGGACATCACCTATTACTGGATTGAAGGAGTCATCTTCAGTCAAATCAACCATTGGGCTGCTAGCTGATGGAATTTTCCATTCACTGGGGATTTTCCGTTCACTTGGAATTTTCCGTTCACTCGAATGCAAATGTGAGGTTCTGCTGTTCTGATTTTTGGACTTACTCCCTCCAAGAATAGACTGAGATGGCGATTGTAAAAGTGACGATTGTGAAAATCCAGACTGTACTTTAGTATCATTATTTACATTTGGTTTTTCAACTAGGTTGTTTAAACTCCGATCAGCCAAAGCGCAAGTGCTTGTCGAATTAAGCCTATGCCCGGGAGATATTCTTTTAGTGGTCTCCACTCCCTCTGATTTATCAAAACTTGATGTGCTCTCTGGTTTGTTTATGGGTGATTTGCTGGTTGAGTTCAGATATAACTGATTTCCATGTCTTGTATACTGTTCGTCATTGGTATCAGTAGGGCTAGATAGACTGCTCAATGTGTGTACTTTTCCCAGAGGACCTTGGCTACTGGCTGAATAAGGGGACTTTACACATGGGGACTTTGATATTGGGGACTTAATGAACATATCAGTCTTTGAGGTGCTCCTTCCAACCTGATCAACAATCGTACTTGGTAATTTTCTACGTTTTATATTTTTCTTCTTAGGGAGGGGGAGGCCACTGAGGTCTGTGGGTGAGAGAGCTGAGGCAGGTGGGGTAGGCGGGAGCCATGAATCACTGTGTGTGTCTCCTTTTTTGGTGGCTTGTTTTGGGGTCGATATTTTAGTTGAGTTATTTAATGATTTACTTTTACATGGTGGAGATGGAGTTAATGGTTCCCAGCTACCAGACCTTTGCCGTTTTAAAGATGTTTTACCTCGACCTGAAGAAAAGACTGAAGTAAGCTGGGATTTTAGGGTACCCTGTGGTGACTTTCCTAAAGGATTCTGGGATTTTGGGGTACTCTGTGTTGATTTTCCCAAAGGATTCTGGGATTTTGGGGTACCCTGTATTGATTTTCCTAAAGGTTTCTGGGATTTCTGTGCACCCTGTGGTGATTTACCCAAAGGCTTCTGGGGTTTAGGGGTACCATTTGGCGATTTTTGTACTGCATCCTTGGAATTCTTGTTTACTGGGTGTGAAGCATTTACTTTTGCTTGTTTGGGAGTTTTTATTGCTCCAGAAATGTTGTTTCCTAACTTAGGGGTTGATCCAGATTTTGCACACTTTATCCCTGTACTTGTAGGAGATTTAGGAACTGTACCTTCTGTAGCTTTATGATCTTTTTCTTTTGGAGTTTTGTTTGAAATTTGTTTATGATTTTCTCGATCCTGGAAAACTTTTTCTATAAATTTACTGCCTCGAGCCAAAAACAATTTCTTTTCTTCTTTGGATAGTTTTCTTTGCTTCTGCTTTTCGAGTTTGTGACGAAGCTCTGAAAATTAATTGAAATATATTTAAGACCTGCAAATCTGTTCACGCTGTTCATCTTCCCATCTACATTGAGTGATAATGAAACTTATGCAGCTAAAATACAGTGTTCTCATTTGTATTTTCTTTGTTTGGTGCAAAATAATGTACTCATTTTAATTTTTTTTTCAAATTATTTATTCCATAATGAACATTAAAATAATGAATATTTAAAAGGGTAACATCATTTCTGGTGCTTTTCCATAGTTTCACTTTTCTCTGAAATTGGTTAAAAAATGTTACCTTCAAACTTGGAATGATTTGTTCTATTCAATGTTGATGCAACTAGGTTTTCAATTGGGTGCAAGCCAAATATGGAAAATCTCACATGGGTGTAGTACCCAGTTGAAATATGACCTTGTAGCACCCAGTTGAAATATGACCTTGTAGCACCCAGTTGAAATATGACCACCCAGTTGAAATATGACCTTGTAGCACCCAGTTGAAATATGACCTACCTGCAAATGTCACTTTATCCATGTCAATGGTACTCATGTCAAGCCCTTCAAAGAAAATCTCAAGCTCTTGCTCAAACTGGAATGAGAAATTAAAGGGGCAACATTAGATACATTCTAAAATAGCTGTTATCGTCGAAACAGCTTAACATTTTTATAGGAAAATCTAAGTTGTTTGGTAATATTTATCCTAAGATTTGTTATGCAGTAATTTTCTGCTTTATCACAAATATTTGTAAAAAGCATGCTTAATGTGTGTAGCTTCTGAGTTTAATGTTTTAAAATAAGAAAAGAAAAAAAAAATTAAAAGGTAGGTTTTTATTTTATCTTAATCAAGGCACTCAAAATTCTGAACATTTTACCCCATTTACCTTAGAGCCCTCTATATTATATTCATGCATTAGTGGCACAATTTTAAAACTCCAAATCTTTTGTTTTTTGAAATTCTAAATTAAAATGAAGAGAAAATTCATCTAGACTCACGGTCTGTTCCACACGCCTCCTCTTTGGCGTAGAAACCATTTCATCATTACTCCTTGGGCCTCTGGGAGCATAGATAGTTTGTTTTCCTACAGCAGACATGACAAGTTTCGCTGTTCTTGAGAGACTTGCAACATTTTCTGAACCAGTTTCTGCAGACCCTGCGATTTTCAAAAGTCTGTTTTTTACATGTTCTTCCTTCTCAGCTCTGAAATATATTCATTTACTTATAAATAAGTCATAAGCTTTTAAAACAGCAGCACTTTAATATCAATAAGTCTGGTATAAATTGTGTCTTTCATCTTCATTTATCTACAAAACATATTTGAAAATAGTCATTACAATTACTAAGATTAAGAAATTCTAGTTTTAGTTTAGATTAGTTTTATAGAGGGCAACACTGTACATTCCGATGTATCTTATTCATGATGTCATTACAATACATTTACAATTTTTTTAAAAAACATACTTTGGTGAATCTAATCCAGAAAGTAGAAGTTTCATCTGTTTTTGATGTCCAGACTTCCATGGCGGTGAATTTATTCCATTTAAGGTTTTCAGGGTGTTGTATTTCGGTGATTTTGCACTCATCGGTTCAGCTTCCACACACTGTTCTGACTAAAACATAATGGGAAAATAATCTTTATTATTCATTAATATAAAGCTTGATTAAAGTGCCTCTAAAAAGTCATTGTTGAGTTTACTATTTAGATTATCACATAATGATACTGAAATATAAATTGATGGCTACACTACTTTTATAATGTAAACAATTCGACTAAGATAAGGTGAGAAAAGAAAAGTAAAATCCTGAAGAGGGTGCTCAATCCTAGACTAATTCCATCTGTTTTGTACAGAATATCAGAAAATATTTCATCATTCTCAGCAGGGTGGCAAGTACATGTAATTTTCAAATTTTCAACAGGTTGCAGAATCCAGTTGCTCTAATGCAGAATGGGTCACTGAAAATTATACTTACTGTTTTCACTGAATCTGCCTTAATCATTATAAATGAGAGTCCGAATTGTGCGCTCTTGTTGAAAGGCTGTCTACACGTCACCTTTACTCTGTCCCAACTACCATTTCTTGTGCTCAAATCAAAGTCTTCTGAAAAAGGAAAAAAAACAAAATTAGAGCAAAACTAGAATGAGACATTAACATGCAAAATGTCATAATCTGCCATTTGTTGCAGGCACCTATCACCGTATGCATCTGTTACAGATGCCAAACACCAACCACTGAACAATGTCTACAAAAAAAGTAGGAAACTATAACAATCTGACTTGTGGTGGTAACATAACAATAATAATGACTTCGAAATGTTTATGTTATTTTTTAACATATAGTGTTCAGATTAGAGAGGTGATTAGATATACAGGTTTCACTGTACCTAAAATGACAATACCTTCCAAGACAAGATAATGGTAGTGTACCAGCATTATAATTTGCTAATTACATATTTCATTGTCTTACATAGAGGATTTTTACATTAAATTTTCTACATACTTTGGTTAAACATGCGGACTTTCTCGAGAGACTTCCACATCCTGCACTCTTGCATCGTCATGAAATTAGCTCCAGGGATCAATGTTTCGTATCCACGGTTACGTGCCCATGTTGATTTGCCCACTTCAACATTCACACTAAAACACCCATAGGCTCCTGTAAGAAAACATAAATTTAGTTATAGGCAGTTTATTTTACTGTCCAAAATTTCAACTTTGATTTTTTCATAGTGACAAGGTACATGTATGTCACTAGTAGGATCATTTAACCAGGGTGCAAACAGATTCTAACAGGGTCTCTTCTAGTTTCTGACCTTTCAACAGGGTACTTCAACAGGGTGAAGCAACCAATTGATGGGTGCAGCACCCAATTGATGGGTACAGCACCCAATTGATGGCTACAGCACCCAATGAATGGGTACAGCACCCAATCAATGGCTACAGCACCGAATCGATGGGTATAGCACAAAATTGATGGGTACAGCACCCAATCGATGGGTACAGCACCCAATTGATGGTACAGCACCGAACTGATATAACACTGAAGAGACCACTACTTATCTGACAAACATGACAGAGATATCACCAGTATTAAAACAAGTGGTGCTATTTCATTTAGGTCGACAACAGTAAAATTTCTGAACATGCAGATTTATAATCTCTGACAATAGGTACTGAGGTTCACAGAAAGAAAACAGTAGTGGTTTTGGCAAAATAAACAAGGCATTAACATGTAGATATCACTACCTGCCATTTTTTACAGACACAAACAGTACTGCCAAACACCAACTGACAAACATTAACCACCAAACACCATCCACATAATTAGCATTAAAAGTCTACCAAAGTTGTTCTCACCTATGTCAACATGTGAGATTGTAACAGGCTCTTCTAATTGAATTTCTGCCTCCATTTCTCCAGATTTCAAACCTTTCTCACATAGCCATCTTTTCCCAGTAGGTCCCCCTGTATTTTGCTTTAATAGATTCTGGGCATTATGCTTTGGGTCCTAAAATATAATTAATAAATATTATTGAGCAGAGTGCTTCAATGGGGTCAGGGAAGAACGTGGTGCATAACAAAGGGGAAGCCCCATTCAGAGCCACTTCAGGAGATTACTGTCTACTGACAATTGCAAATTCATTGACAGGTGATTTTCTGGCCAATAAAATGTAAGCCCATTTCAGATTGGATCTACAGTATATGGGTATGCCTACATGTACGTTGATTCCTTTTTTATGTTGGATTGAAAAATGATTCGATTGGAGTGAGTTAGGGATAAGGCATTTTTGAACCTAGACTTTGAATATGTGCGCTCTACTGCTCTTACAGTTTACAGCCACTTCAGGAGATAACTGACAACTTAAAAGAATATTAAGCAATGTTCTACATCCGCCAAGCTAAGTGAAGTAGTCAATATTTAAAATTACCAATTTCAAGTGAAGTACGCAACGAACGAAACTGCGTGATCTACACTCCCACTATTTGTCTGAATGAAATGCTACGTAGAAATATGAGCCGTCTGCTGTATTAGTCGATTAATAGAGTAAGACCTGTTGGTGATGCTTTATAATTTAGACCAAAACATTGAAGAACAAACGAACCTGTAAATCGTGAAAACAACGAACAAATATTCGGTTTTCACATATGTTCGGTAATTTTTCGTATTGAAACTTCCGGAACTTACAAGGAAATCATTCATTTTCTCGGTTGATGATTTACCTCTTTGATGTTGTGGCAAATGCTCCATGGTTGACGGAACAAAGGTGATATGGTTTCATTAAGAAGGTAAGTCAGACTCCCAAACGTCAGCTAACTCTTATATTTAGCATCTTAGCGACGAAGTCAGGCCATGAAAAAAGTAGTACACTAAGAAATTCTCCATCTAAAATGTCACTCGACTTTTTGGCAATTAAAAGTCCCTGCCTGCATTTAGTAGTCATATATTGTCATGTGCATAATTTTGAAACCATATCCTAATTATTTCACAAACCCTTTGTTGATTCTGCCATAGTTTCCAATTTGTAAACAGCATTTAGCCTTTTTAATTGGGAACTTTTTTGAAATTTCCAAAATGGCTGCCATGTGATTCCAGAATTAACATGAGTGTGACGTGACATCACAGTTGCTCGTTCCTAGGTAACAACAAGATCACAATTGCTCGTTTCTAGATAGCAACAAGATTTTTGATAAAATGGCACAGAATTACCCTGATTAACACCCTTAAAATCCGATTTTCAAAGAATATATTTGGAGAAACAATAAAAGGTAAGTGGAATAAATTAGAAGATGGTTTCAAGTTACCACAGAAGTCAATTTGAAATAGACCAGGTGCTTTTCTGCAAAAGGTCTCTCTGTAAAATGTGGTAGGCGTTTAGTGTTAAAAGTGTTCTGACAAGTGTTTCTTATGTAACTTTTTATGCTGAATTCAAAAAACCATGTTGGCAAGCTGAAATATGATTATTTAACCCTTAAAATACCATGTTAGTCCCCCTACCCCCAAATTTCACCCCTATCGGGGGAAAAAATTCTTCAACCTAAAATAACTTTGATTTTATGGTTTTTGTAAGTGAAATACATGGACATTGTATAAAATAAACATTTGAAGTATGAATGATACGGATTACCCTTAAGAAATTTGAAAAAAAGCAAAAAGTATGTACCCCAGGGGGCAAATTTATGACCCATTTTTTACTTTTCGTGTCATAACTTTTTTATTAGACAATGATGGATGCTTAAAAAAATCCATGTAAAAGGCATAATACCTGGTCAACTAATCCTGCAAGAATCAAAGTAATTCATTCGATAATTGCCTCTATTGCTTTAACATTCATCCCTCTGTGTTCATATATTTAGCATTTTAGAATAAATCTAAAATATAAAACTTATTTTAGCAAAGTTTTAGGAAGATTTAAGCTTTTTATCATGTTCAACTATTAAAAATTAATGAAATATGATGTCTAAAATTGATAAGTTATACGTATACCCTTGGAAGACCCTTATAATTTCTTATTTATGAACATATTTGTACCAATATTAGTTTTCTAGCTTAGACAAATGATGTATGATATATCCTGGCTTGGCTTTTTGGTGGTTTGAACAATCTTTTAAGTGTTATCATTGAAAATTCATTCTTAAATCATAGGTCTGCAATCGATTAAATTCATGTATACCATTAGTATCATTCTACTGGTATGAGCATAATTGAACTAGCTATGATTTCATAGATTAGTTGTTTGATGTATGACATATTCCAAGCTGACTTTCTGGTGATTTTAATCATCTAAGAGGCTTAATCATTGAAAACCATTACAAATAAAGGCCTAAACGGACAGTATTAAGGTAGACTATAAGAACACCCTTAATTCCAGGCTTAGAGTACATTGGTACCTACTACTGTCTCATAGCTCGGAGGTTTGATATATGACATATTCTGACTAGTTTTTCTACAGGTTTGAACCACCTAACAGGTCTAATCATTGAATATACTTAATATACTAGGTCTAAAATTGAAGTATTCAATAGAACCCTCTATGATAAATTCAAAAAAGATTCAGAATGACATTAACCTTAACACTGGATCTGAATCAGAATTACAATTCTTCATAGAGCTGAACTAGGAAGACAAGGCTAATTTCATTCTAAGCAGCCTGACAATTGCATGACGTGAGAGCAAAAGTACCAATGATTCATACAAATCTTCATTTTATGGAGTTTTCTTCCCTGTACAATGTTTAGTCATATTAAAACCCCCCCCCCCCCCTGTCCCCATTAACCTCTCTGTGTTACTCTTGGGGTTGAGGCAGAAATTCTTGACAAATGGCGTATACTCACTTTGACAACATTTTGAATTAGTGGGATGTTTCAGTTAATGAGAGTTTTTGCAGAGTAGCAATTTTTTGGCAATTTAAATCCAATAGGACCATATATGGGAAATTCAAAAAAGATTCAGAATGACATTAACGTCAACATTGGATCTGGAAATCAAATAAAGCAACTGATTGATGTGATCTCGGATGACTCTTGTAAATCAGAATTACAATCCTTCATAGAGCTGAACAAGGAAGACAAGGATTACTTTTCATTCTGGTAGTAATACATGGACATGGTCCAAATCTTGATACGCTTCACCATAGCCCAAAGAAAGGGAAATTGGGAGCTTCATCTCAATGTATTTCAATGCATGAATCCTTTTTTCATGAGATATGACCACCAAAAGTATGCAAGATGGGGCACAGTACACTTCACTGCTGAAGTTTTGCTTCCTTGAAGACTGTAGCCAAATCCTAAGGTGTAGATGCAATTGATGCTAATTTGTAAGAAGGATCATACATTGGAAATATTACGGTTGGCATTCCAATGCCATTTGTTAAACAGTTAAGGAGTAGAGTACATTTGAGTTGGCTTGAATGTTTCATTCGTCAATGAGGGCTATTGGAAAAGACATCAGCTCATGTTTCATTGATGCCCACAGGTCTGTGGTTAGCTTCATATGCAGTGATAAGATTCTGCAAAACATTCCTGTCTGCCTTAACAACTTTCTGCTCGTTTATATTGGGATTAGGCATATAGTTTAAAAAATGTTGGTGCTTGCTCAGTAGATCAAGAAATGTTGTGTCTTTCATTTGACCCTGTTGGTATCAACCTCTAAGACACAAAGACATCCAGTTGTTGTTGGCCAAACTGTCGAGCCTGTTGATTGTTTCTGTGAGTACATCTTTTGTACATATACTTTGGAGATTAAGTAATGGATCTTCTGAAAACATGCCAAACTTCAGCAGCATGTCACATATTTTAACTTCTTCCATAGATTCTTGTTTTGATTTGCAAATTACCACCCCCCCCCCTCTATGGAATCTCAAAACGCAAGTCCAAACATCATTCTTGTTTGGACTCCCCATGTGTGACCTAAGATTATACCCCGGTGCCCATCTGTTCAATGCAGATATTGTCTTTGTGTTATGCCTACAATTCTGCCACCCTTCTAACCAATAGCATACTGGCATAGGGGTCAATCAACTTGGTTGATTGAATTTGTAGAGCCTTTTACCACATAGTTCAATGCAAGAATCCTCGCTCAACTGCAGCAGGTACTATATTCTAATAGTTAGTGCATTTCCTCTAAGTTTACTGTGCCACACCTTCCATAATTTTGGTGGTCATGAAATAAGGGATCATGCATTGAAATGCATTGAGATGAAGCTCCTAATTTCCCTTTCTTTGGGCTTGGATGAAGTATAGCAAGATTTGGACCATATTCAGCTCTATGAAGGATTTAATCCTTATTCAGATCTAATGTTGAGGTTAATGTCATTTTGAATCTTTTTTGAATTTTCATAGAGGATTATATTGAATACTTCAATTTTAGACCTAGTATATGAAGTATAATCAATGATTAGACCTGTCATTGGTTCAAATCTGCAGAAAAACTAGTCAGGATATATCATATATTAAACCCCGAGCTATGAAACAGTAGTAGGTACCAATAAACTCTAAGCCTGGAAATAATAAGGGTATTCTAATAGTTTACCTTAATACTGTCTGTTTAGACCTTTATTTGTAATGATTAGGCCTCTTAGATGGTTTAAATAAACAGAGAGTCAGCTCGGAATATGTCATACATCAAACTAATCTATGAAATCATAGCTTGTTCAAGTTGATTATTTTGGTCAATCTTGCATATTTTGCTTTAATATTTCAGAATTATTTACTTCATTTAATGTGAATTTTGTTGTGAACATTTAATGATAATCTGCTAATAAAGTAAAAAACTACAGCATTTTACAACACATGCCCCATGTGGCCACCACTCCAGCCAACGAAGCTGTTGATGACTCTCTTGCACATACCAACATGAATTGCAAAGCTTCTGATGAAGCTATCCACTTAAAATTGAATTTTACTTCTCTAGATAGATTTTAGTCACGCCATGGATAATTGAACAATTGAACAACTTCCTTCGCCAGATTTGATTGTGCATGTAGAGGAGAAGTGGCCACATTGGACATA